AGCTATCTGCAAAGTTGGATGCCCGGCCAGGGAGATGACCCACAGGGCATGGCATGGCAGACCTCTCCGTTTCTCTTGCTGTTCCCATCAGCAGTGTGCTTCACTGCTGTTCTGTTCCCCACTCTGTCTCTGGTGAATTGTCTTACCCCCCTCTCCACCTCTGGCCTACACCCACGCTCTTGTATGCATAAATAAATAAGTTTAAAAAAATACAAAAACACAGAAATCAACCCCAGTGGAGTCTACTTACAAAACTTCAGATTTGATTTGTATTTCACCAGTTTTCCACTAATGTTCTTCTTTGGTTCCAGGATCCAATTCAATATGCCATGTTGCAATAGTATATCTAATTTTAAAAACATGTATTGATATATCCCATTGCACCCGTCATGTTGTAGTTGGCTGCTTTCATTCGTACTATATAATAAACATTTTCCCAATCAAAGCACTTATCATTTTTAATGGCAGCATAATGTTCCATTGTATAGGTTTACCATGATTTGCTTAGCCAACAGCTTATTATTCTACATGTCACTTGTTTTAAAATTTTCACTGGTATAAAGAGTGGTGGCATGAACACATTGTACCTGTTTCTGATTTAAGTATCTCTGATTATCTGACCTCAAGAAGTGGGTTACCGTGTCCAAGAGACCTATCCCTACCACCTTCTGTTTCCAAGAGACAGCTCAGCCCCCATCCTGAGGCAGGTAGGATGAGCAGTCAAAGGCGACACAGTCTTTGGATGGTACCAGAAGCGAGAGAGTTGGGACATCTAGGGAACTCCCAGTCCTTTGTGGCTTCTCAGGCTTCTCCAGGCTAACCACCAGCAGCTGGGAATCTTAACTTTCTAGAGAGAAGCTCTGAGCCCCAGGATAATGGGAAGGGGCTGGAGGTGGGGGTGGGGGTGGAGCAGAGGCTGCTAATGCATTTTTGCCACCATCTTTGGTTTCTCCAATATCCAGTCAGACTATTAGCAGATCCCCAAGGATGGCCTTGCTCCTAACATCATCCCCCATTTCCTATAAATGGGAAATGGCTAGGGAGAAGGGTGTGTGTGCATCTGGTGGGGGAGGGGGTGGGAGGAAGGGCAAGGGAAGAGGTGATTTTTCTCTAGCTCACTTAGTGAGGGAAGGAGACCCAGAGAATCCATTACTCGCCCAGAACAGCCCAGCATGGGGGAAGTAGTATGACTGTAAAGACATTTTCTAAGGCTCTGACTGCCAGGCTGGGTGATGATTGTTGCCTCTGCATGTGTCTGGAGCTCAGAGAAGTGTTGTGTGTTTGTGTGGTGACTAGACTGAGGGAAATTGCCTCAGTTTCTCCATCTGAAAATGATACTAAAAAATGAGTTGTCAGAAAGACTGAGTTAATACAGGAAGCACTTAGACTAGTGCCTGGCACAGCCTGTAACAGTTACCTAATAGTATTGCTGTTATTATTGATATATGAGTCTACATCAGCAGAAAGTGGCTGCGGTGGGGGGGATATTTTGACAGCAGAGCATCTGAAGAATGCACCCCCCTAGCCTGGTAAAAATGGCCACCTGCATGGGGGCGAGCATGTGTGACTTGGCACTTCTCTGGAGGCCAGGGTGCAGGGCGGAGTCCAGGATCTCGCATCATGCTGTATGCTCACCCCCCACTTCTGGCCCCATGCACTGCCCATGTCACAAGGCATAAGGTGTGAAGCCCTGGCAAAAAATCAGGGGGAGAGGGGACTCCCACTCCTCTAAGGTGGGACAACTCCCTCTCACTCCCTGCTCTTTCCCCCAGCCTGGAAAATACCATGGGCCATTCTTCCCTGGCTCTGTAAATTTCCAGCTGACCTGGAATTCCCTTTGACTCCTGCCCTCTTCTCCGGGTACGGGGGACACAGGCTCAGGAACCCAGGACTCTCTGCTAACCACAAATGTGTATGCAGAAGGCTTAGGCAAGTTGTCAGGCTGGGGGGGGGGGGCACGTGTGACTTGCTCCGGAGACAATATTTGAGACAGTTTTCTAGTGAAACTCACAAGAGAGATTCTTGATTTCCCCCTTCTTTGCAATCTCGTGCACCCACTCTCTCTTCCCCAGGACCTCAGATCCCTTCTCTATTTTCCTCTCTTCTCTGTCTCCCAGCTTGGCAATCATCTGGCGAACCCCTATTTTTACAAAAGCCCAGAACATGGCAACCTGGCCGCTGGCAGGATCCTACAGCTAGTCTTCCTTGGGAAGACTTCTCCCTGCGTAGTTTCCCTGCACCCTAACACAGCTCCCAGGAAGAAACAGCCCCAGCCCAAGACCAGCCCGGCCTCCCACCTGCACGATCCATTCTCGTCAAGGGCTCTCTGGAAGTCTTGTTGAGACCTTGCTCAAGGGCTACAAAGGGCACCTTTTTTTTTTTTTTTTTTTTTTTGGCAACGTATCACCCCTTCTGTCCTATACACACCTTACCGAGGGCAAAAAAAAGAAAGAAAGAAAAAAGGAATTTGGCTTTAACTTCAAGAGGAGGGACTGAGTTAGCTATAGGGAGATGTTTCTGCCTCGGAAAAGAGTAACTGGGGAAGGGAGAACGCGCCGTCGCCTTTCAAGGGCCGGCTCTGGCTGCGTGGGGTGCAGCTCTGCCGGGGACAGGGGGTGGCCAGACTAGCACGCGGGTAATGGTCGCCCGCTGGCTCCGGGGAGGGGAGGCGCCCCGCGGGCCCGCGGCGGCTTCACCTAAATGTTTCGGTGGCGCGCGGCGAGGGGCGGTGCACGGCCTAGGTAATGACAGGGCCGTCCGAGAGCCACGCGGGGGCTGCCCGGCGCGATCCATACAAAGCCAGCGCCGAGACCTCCGCCTGCCCTCCCTAGGGTACCAGCCCCACCCCGGCAGACCCCCTCCCGGCACCCCCACCTCCGTCCCGCCTCGCCCCGCCCCCCTCCTGGCCGCCCTAGCGCGCATGCTCTCTCCCCCCGCCGAGTAACCTGGAGATTTAAAAGCCGCCGGCTGGCGCGCGTGGGGTGCGGGGGGACGAACCCGCACGC